TTATTTTATGGATTAAATTTTATCATACTTGAATAAATACGGTGAATAAAAACATTTTTGTTTGATGTTGGTTGAACTACTTGACCACACTTGCTGACATTTTAAATGTCACCTCGCACAACTAACAAACATGCAGTGGTTTGTGGGTTTYATCCCGGATCAGTTTTCACCTTCTGACTATAGAAAAGCTTTAGATTCACAGTTAAATCAGTTCAAGTGCTGCACAGTGACCTTCTTCTAAAAACACTGCRGTTTTGTTGTGTATATTCACAACTGTTGTGTGCTTTAACTCAGGTGCAGTAAAACTACTCTAAATAAATGGTTTCCAAAATTTTTATCTTCTGACCCACAAAATWTTCATGGCAAAAACATGTGACCCCAAATATTACTGGTCTGAGTACACAAACTTCGTTAATAACCCTAAAAGCAAAGGCTACACAAATATAAATATTTATATTTATTTTGTGCTTTTGTAATAATTATAGGGAAATATTACATCGCCAATTTAAACACATCAGTGTTTCAGGTTTGTTTCTTCTAGTTTCACATGATTAAAGCAGTTGAAGATTCGCTGAGTGACCTCAACACAACGCTGCCTCTCAAACAGAGCTGATCAATTATCAGATGTTTGCTCGTTAATAACGTGGCAGAGGTGACAGGTCCTGAGGATTTGAGTTTAAGGTTTTATTAACGATTTGATACACAAAGACATGAATAAAAACAAGTAAAACCTACCTGTCGAAGGCCGATCTTCTTACTGTCCCACATCTGTTTGAAGTTCCAGAAGAAAGGCTGCTCACACTTCTGACAGGAGTCACTGTCCAGCCACTCAGGTGTCTGTGCACACATAAAAAACAATGAGGCTTCATATAAACACACAGAATTAGGGAAAAAATTGATTTCTTACAACAACTAAACTGGGCAAACTGTGGAAAACAACCTGTAAAAGTTTAGTTTGTTATTTTATAAAGACAAAAGGATCACAACAGTAACTATTCTCATTATGTTACATAATATGAAATAAATAGGAGACATGCAAATAAGAACTCACCCTGCAAGCACAAGTGTAAAACACTGACACACAACACTAACAGGGTTTTATCACAAATAAAAAATGACAACACTAAATTTAGTAAGTTATGTGGAGATTAAACTTAAAATAAAATGTGACCAATCATATTGAAATGAGGATTAAGTCAATTTGGTCAAAATGATGTAATTACATTTTCTGATTCCTGGTTTTAAAAGCTACATTTTGACACCTGGATCATTCTGATATCATAATTAAATCCATATATATGACTTAATTTGTCTTGTTGGTTACAATAACACATAAATATTTGGTCTGAATCCTAATTTTGTCATTTCATTGAGGAATTTCTGATGTCCTTATAAAGACGAAACCTCAAATTATTTTGAATATTGAGATTTCTCAGCTAAAAAGAAACAAAACTTTACTAA